TCGAAACAATGATAATTGCACAATTATTGTTTTTCCTAAAAAAACGAATTATAATAAAATATAAAATGAAAATATCATAATCCATTACAAGTAATCAAATTGTGAATGATTAGTACTATTAAAGTTTACTGAGCAGATATTTCTTTAATTTCATTTTAAATTTTTCTGCTTCGTCTATATTTTTCAACTCATTAGGTAAGGAGTTATACAAAATTATTCCATTATGAAATATTGATTGTTTACCAAAATTCGACTTATAATTATTTGCTATCAATGAATTGAATTGCCTTGTTTTATGGGCGTGAATCCTATTAACTTCATTAAAATTCAAATTCGATATTTTCAATTCCTTCCTGACAAAATGAATAAAACAACAAATTTTGAGATCATATAATGAAACTAGATTCAGCAAGTCTTTAGGTTTGTATAGATTCGCAGTTGATTCTAAAAAAGGTAAATTGAAAATGCACTTTATTGTTTTATTTTGTGATTTCATGAGTGGCTTCAAACGTGAAATATTTGTACTCCCCCAAATAGATATTAGATATTGTATATTTGAATGAAAAAGACAGAAATAAATACTCTTTAGGTATTTAACAGGAATGAAATTTCGAATTTTATATATAATACCAGCAATAGCATCCAATTTTTTTCTCAATTGATCTATATGTAGAGTCCACGATAGTTGTTCATCTATATATAGACCTAAAAATTTTGTTACATTTTGATATTCAATGGATTTGTTATTGAAACATATTGGGGTATTATTCAATATATCCGTTGTTCTTTATGAGATGTACATATACGTAGATTTACTATAATTAAGAGTCAACTTATTGGTCACTAGCCAAGATGATATTTGTTTCAAATCATTTTTAATATCATTATTGATATCAAATACTGTCTGTAGGTTAATCGTTGAAATCTTTTGAAGTATGAATTATTGTTGTATCATCTGCAAATAATCTTAGTTTTCCTTTCAATTTTAAAGTAGATATTGAGTTGATATGGATTGAAAATAAAATTGGCCCCAAAACTGATCCTTGCGGTACACCACATGTAATATTCATCAAGGAACTACAAGTATTATTCACATCAACATACTCTTTCCTATTCATCGAATAATTTTGGAACCAATCATGAATTTTGCCTCTGACACCTATTGATGATTATTCAGTCAATAAAATATTACGATTTACAGTGTCAAAGGCCTTACAGAGATCCAGAGACAGAATGCCGCATTTGTCATTGTCATCTATTCGTAACTGAATATATCTGAAATGGCATCCATCACAGCTACCTCTGTGTCTTTCGACCTACGAAATCCATATTGTTCACTAAACAATATGCCATTATTTTCAAGATAATTTATTAGACGGTTATTCATATTTTTTTCTAAAATTTTGGTAAAGATCGGGAGAACAGAAATTGGTCTATAATTATTCAAATCATCTTTCTTCCCATTTTTGTGGATTGGTAATACTTTAGCAATTTTCATTTTGTCAGGAATATAATACCAGTTTTGAGCGATTTGGAAATTATGTTTAACAAAATAGGAGCTAACTCAAATTTGAATACTTTTACAATCTTAACAGTAATATAATCAAATCCACAGCATTTTCGAACATCCAGATTATCAATGATATTCTCAATTTCTGAAATATTCGTGGGAATTAGGAACATCGATAGAACACTTGAGCAATCTTTCACAGTGTCGGAAATTGTAGTAATTTTTGACGATAAATTTTGGCCTACATTGATGAAATGATTATTGATTACTCATTTCCTGGAAGTCGTTGATTTGTACATTATTCACAGTAATACATTTAATATTTTCTGTTTTGTTCTTCGTTTTGTTGTATAAGATTGAGTTTATACCATTCCATACTGATTTTGGAGTACCATTAAAAAAAGTTTCATCATAAAATTCTTTTTTTGTTTCACGTATTCTCTTTCTCACTAATTTATTATAGGAATTATATTGCTCTTCAAAATATTCTATATTAGGATAGATTTTTTTTATAATGAAATTTGTCCCGCAATTTGATCAATTTACTTATTTATAGTACTATTGAACCATGGCTTTGAATCACATTTTAATTTAACCATTTTCGAAACAGTACAATCATGAAAAGTATCCAGTAGTTTTCCATATGCATCATCAAGATTATTATAACTATTGATATTATCATTTAGTATTTCCAATTCAGATTTTAATTTTTCAATATCAACTTGTTCACATATTTTTCATTATTCAATTTTAGTAGTGGATGTATAAGTCAAATAAAATTTATGGTCACTCAATGAATTATTGATGACTAATAACTCTAGATTTTTTTTCTGAATTGGTGATACAATAATCTAGCAGTGATGAACTCCTAGTTGGGATAGTCTCATTATACAGTTTCTGAAATTACTAGATTTGTGAATGTCTACAAACTCTTTGGACTCATCACTATTCGATAAAAAATTTATATTCATATCACCAAAGAAAAAACATTCACAGTTGAATCTATTGATTGCATCAAGTGTCCTATCCATAAATTCGAGAAAATATTGAATATTCACGTCTTGTGGTCGATAAACGCCATAAAGTATCATATCTGGGGATTTGATTTTGATGGCCAAATATGTTGAAGTTGTTTCTTCTTTTTGAATTATGTCAAAATCTGAACTCTCATGAATGAAAATCCCAACACCATTCCCTCGTTTTTGACGACTTGCATATACTGCATTGTAGTTTTTAAAGTTGAAATATATCTCTTCTTCCTTATTCAACCATGTTTCAGTTACGATGACTGCTGCAATATTCATTTCATGATAATATGATAATTTCCAGTTCTTCCATTTTATTTCTTATTGATCTTGAATTTAGATATGACATTTTTGTTCTAGTATTGGCATCTTCTTCCAAATCGTCGATAGAGCTCAATTCGGTTAACTTAACAGTGGAGTTGTTAATCATATTTTTGTATTAGTTTTATTTCAATTGACATAGTCAATTTGTGATTCCAGTTGGTTTTGATGAAATTTGAGGGTTGGGCAATTTTCATCTGTAGCTGTATGATTCACGGAATAATCGTTTTTGTAGCGTTGGTTTGATATTATACAATTATTACATTTCAATGGCTCATTATTCGAACATGAACTGACTTCATGTTCACCACAACAACGGGGACACAATAATTTATTCCTGCATTTATTACTTTTATGTTTGAATCCATAGCATGCATTGCATTGGCTTACAATATTGTTGTCATATACTTTTAAATTTTGCCAACCAACAAAAAGTTTTCCATCGTTATTTGCCATTATTCTTTCATATAATCTTCCATTGATTTCTGCATATACTGTATATGTACGTTTTTTATCAAAAAATTTCAGGTGCTCAATTTGTGAAGTGTCATCTTTGATTATCATATTATTCTGTTCAATGATCATCTTCTGCAGTTGTTCCTTTGATATATTTTGGTCTAATTTCAAATTTGGAATTTTAATTTTAGGTCTCATCAATTTCTTCATTTCTGCATCATATTTGGATGGTAATTTTTCAATGATTTTCGTTTTAATTTTCTCAATATCCTCTTTATTCTTGCATTTTATTAATTAATTTCCATTACGCATTTCTCTCAAAGAATGTAGTCCAACTCTCAATTTGGTGATATTTACATTTTTTTCTAGATCATTTTTTGTTTTTTCTGCAGGTTAAATATTTTTCGGTTTCAAAATCAGCGTTTGTTCATTTTGTTAAGGTGTACACAAAGAATTATGTTTTTTCTTCAGAACAATAACTTTTACTTCCATACCGTTGAAATTTTCGACTCTTCCTTTTATTTGATTCAAAGATTCCATAATATTATTCGTATCATTAATATCAGACACTTTCAAGTTGTAATTTTTATTTATTCTCTCATTGACTTCAGCTAAAAGTTTGATATGATTATCTTTCTCGAAGATTATCAAATCCTTCTGTCTAATGATTTCTTTCAAATATGATATTTTTTCTTCAAAATCCCTCATCATCTTACTTTCTGTGTTAAATTTAGATTCATAGTTTACCTGCGTATAATGTATATTGGAATGTTCTTCAATTGAATCAAATAAATCACTTCGAGAAATACTTTTTCCATCACTATGTATGGAACGCTCCTCTTCTGATTGGAACATATCAGCTCTTAAAGAGATGTCTCCACTTCCACATTCCTTCTCCTTGCACTCATTTACATTTTTCTTCTTTCTTTTCATTTCTTGTATAATTTGATATGTATAAAAATCATGGTTATTAAATCAATTGATTAATTTGAGTTAGCAATAATCATGCAATAATTTATAGATAAAAATGTATTATTTTTCATTCAATAATTGGGTATGAGTACAATTCAGTACTGTTTCAAATTCTGTATAAGTAGATATTGAATATTAACCAGAGGAGCAAGTAAACCCCTTGAAGAGACTAATATCCAGTTTTTTTTTTAGTTCTGTCGCAATAAAGGATTTGACTTCTTCTATATCAAGCGGAATTTCATCATACAAATGGGGAATCAAATATTTATTATTTATTTGTCCAATTATTTCATTAGATTTATATCTCAATGTTTTGTTCTTGTTTTATATATTATAGGTGATTTCTTTGAATTTTCTGTTTTTGTAAAGTTGATGAACAATACATATAAAGCTGATTTATCTCCATCTTTTGATATTCTTTATATCAAAGGTCGATTGGAAATGAATAATCTTTTTCATGAATGATTTTCAGAATACATTATTGAATAACTTCAAATTTTTTCAAATATATCATTGCTTTACTCCTTTCCATCCCGAAATCCCATGAGCTAATTGAGATTGAACTGAGGCAAAATATATCATTTCCAAACTAGGAATGCTCAATACATATTTTAGACATTTGAATTATTTAGGAATGAGACATCTGATTTTTTTCAAAACACTATCTACAAGATTATTCGACTTCAAATTATCATGTCCTTTCCTGTGTGATTCAGATTCGTGCAGCTGAAAGACTGCGGTCACGTGTTGGAAAGTGACGGCATGGAAATGTGGCTGAAGGGGGAAAACGAGGACGAGATCCAGGTGAAAGTGTGCCCCAAGTGCAAGACGCAGATAGTCAACACGCAGAGGTACAGTGAGCACCTGAAGAGGGCCTTTGTGGACATCCAAAACGTCAAGCAGCGACTGAACGGCAGCCCAGAAGCGAACCGTGATACGAGGCTGCAATTGTTGAAGAGAATCTTGTTGTTGAAGCAACATTCCATGAGCAGTGAGTAAAAATCATAACTTTCGACTGCCTGATCTGATTTCCAATTTTTTCTCAATTCCTGAATTTCTGTTTCATTGACTATCGAACCTATCAAAATTATTATACAGGGTCTCTATAAATGATCGTAATTTTTTTTCCATTTGCCGCTTTCTACAAATGCTGTTAACAACATTTAAGGATCAAAAAGAGAGGAAGTGATCATATACAGGATCTTTTTTTATATCGTTTCGCATATACTATGGAAATGTCCAAAGAAGGAAAAGTCCAATATTGGAGTTTGAAAAGTAATGGAACAAATCAAAAATATTTATTGAAGAAGTAATAGATTAACTCCCCGACTTATCACACGTTCGTCATAAAATTCTTGTAAATATTCTAAATTTGCACGTGTGGTGTGGGCAGTGGCCCCATCTTGCTGAAAATAGCCAAATCGAATTTCTTCATCATCAAGTTGATTGATACCCAGACAGCACCAGATATTCCATGAATCTCCCTATCATATTCCTTTTGGAATATTGGAATATTCTAGAAATAATCTGGAATATTCCGAGATATCTGTGGAATATTCTCTAAATAAGCGAATGGGAATTCCTCAGATAATCATAGAATATACCCAAAAGAATATTCTATGTTGAATGTTCCTGGAATATTCCAATAAACATATTCTAAAATAAAAAGAGGGACCCAAGTAGGGATCGAACTCGTGACCTCAAGACTATCAGAGCAACGCCTTGACCACTAGGCCAGTAATCGAATTGAATAATGTTATACATATCAAGTTCTTGTGAGAGCATTGTTCGAAATCGGATCATAAACACTTTTTGTTTCAAAATCCCCTTACATCTGATTGATGTTCGATAGTCACATCTCTGAAATAATAAATGGTATTTATGTGTTGAGAAACATAGGAATATTCATGGAATATTTCATGAATATACACCACAGAATATTCAGTTGAGAATATTTCATGAATATACCGCACAGAATATTCAGTTGGGTATATTTCATGAATATACCGCACAGAATATTCAGTTGGGTATATTTCATGAATATACAACAGAGAATATTCAGTTGGGAATGTGCCTGGAAGATTCATACCTGAATATTCCCTGAACATGTCCGACTATTCACTTTGGAATATTCCTTTTAGATGTTCCAGAGGCATGTATATATTCTAGGAATAATCGATTAATATTCGGAATATACTCCTCCTTTTTAGCATATTTAGAGAATATTCTATGAATATCCAATGCTGTCTGGGTAAATGGTTCTAACATCACTCGTTTGTACCCCAATTTTTTGAGAATGTAGTGAAGTCTCAATGAAATTTTGGGGATTCTCAGATCTCCAAAACCTAAAATTTTGTGAGATCACGTATCTCGACAAATAAAACCAATGTTCTCAGGAGCTCCTTGGTTCCATCATTGACAAGACCGGCACCCCGAATAGATTTTCCCGATATGTTTCAATGACTCTTGGACACCCCCACCTACACGCTTTCATCGCCAGAAAATATCTCAATCGAGTTTCTCAGATGAGAATACCTCAACATTTTCTTCACAACATGAGTTTTCAATAGGTACTTTTTTTCCAGCCAGATATTTAAATAATGACTTATCTCCTCCCCCAACAATTATAAGTTTCAATTCACTTTTCATTTTCAAATTCAATATAGTACTCACTGCATGATTCACTGATATTCTTCATTATACACTATCAAAATTTAATTATATCGAATAACACTGATTTCTAGTTTGATAGTCATGGAAAAAAAAATACCCACGTACCTACCCCACAGTCCGCACGTACCAAATTTTTCATTCAATACGTATCATCAATCCAATTGATCCAATACAACGATCCAAAAATTGGTGTAATCTAAACTTATTCGATGTTTTTCACTGATGATCAGATAGCAAAGATTCTGATTGTTTGTGGTTTTCACATGGTTGTCATCACATCAATGCCATTCTTCATATTATTTCCGTTTTATTCGTTCCTACACATTTCCTGCACCAGAAAATCACAAAAAAAACGCGACTTTCATCTGCTGTTCATTTCTGTTTGTGACATCAACAATTGTCAAACTGATGCGACGTGCAACACTTGATAAACGAACAGTGAATGCTAGCGTTGCTATGGTAACGTAATTTATACGATTCTTGATCAATTTGCATTTTTGTTACTTTCTATTCGAGTGGAGTTGTCGATAAAATAGTGCGGAAAATTCACTTTTTCTACTACTGCTATGAAAATAAGTAGCGCATTTCTCATAGCTTACTTACTTTCAAAATCATGTATTGCCCATACTGTGAGAAATATTTTTTCTCACGTCACTTTGCCAACACTACATACATTTCCATTGAGAATCAACAGAAATCGATCAAAACTTGGCTGCTGTTCAGCTTTGAATAGTTGTCACAACTGTCAGAAGAAGTTTCTTAAATTCTTTAGGCAGATATTATATAATCTCTGCTTTAGGGTAGTTCTCATTAGTACTCTTGATAGAAATCGCATTTTCCATCAAATATTGTTCCAACAATTCATAATAAATAATATGATGTATATACGGAGATGTGACGATTTTGATAAATACACCGCCAGAGACAGAGATAATGGAAAAAGCTGCGAAAGTTGGATTTATTTACGCAAATTTCAACAAAAAAGTATGAATTGGCATATACGAAAAATTTTGGGAATCTGAAACAATACAGAAATAAAATCTTTATCGGAAAGTGTACTTTTTTTAAATACTTTGAGGAACTAGCCAAGGCGTCTACTCTTATTTGGTCACAATATTCAATGTGGCATAGTGCCACATCATAAAATGAATACCAGTCTCCACATTACTTTGGATTCTTTGAATAAGTGTAGTTAGAGAAAAAGTATAGTGTGCAACATGTGGGGAAAAGCACTTTTTTGCACTCGTGAGAAAAGCACTAGTGCTGAGAAAATAATGTTTCACCTTGGAAATGAGGATATCAGGACTAACTTAATGTGTGTCCTATGTAGCATTTCAAAGCATTATTATGTTTGTTTGTTTTTCATAAATAATATGGACAGAACACTCGTAGAAAATTCATTGTACCTAACTCAACTACCGCTCCGCGTCGTTCGTGCAACTATCGTCGCATGCGGAGAAGTACTACTTTCAAGTCTTGTTAGGTAAATTACTATTTTGCCGCGCTTTTCACGATGGATAGTTTCCTAGATACTACAGTACCTCACATTTTTAGTTGGTCACCCTGTACAGGGTGCGCCTTCCAAAATGGAACACCCCCTCAACTCTCTCGTTTTCAGAGATTTGATTTTTTCAATGGAACATCCTATATAATTTCTGAAATGTCGATAGATAAAATTGCGTTTTTTGAAATTAGGAATGACAACATTAAACAAAAGGATTGCCAATGCAACTGATGAATGGAGAGGATGATTTTCAAATGGAAATAAGAGTGGATAGGCAATCAAATCTAATTTGTTCATTAAGACAGACCGTCGAATTTGAATGAGCAGATCTATTGTTTTCTAAAATTTCCAGAAGGTTAAGCTTTCTGCCTTTAGGATGACCATGTTCATCCTTAAGGATGTATTTCACCCTGATGATGACTCTAAGGAGTCGAAACATGTAGCACGTATTTTTATTAAAATTTACTCGGAGTGGGACTTCGAGTTTGTTCTCTCAATTATCTCATCACCTCCAATTAGAGCATCGACTACTACCAGAGAATTGAGTTATTGCTGATCAAAATTTGCCAAAATACCACTTGTTTCATTCATATTTTTTGGATTGAGATTGAAAGATTTCAATTTCATAATAAACAATATCATGACATTTCCAAAGAGCCTAAACAATATATAATCATTATTTTCAAGCTCATTATGTTCAACTCACATTATTAGATGATATGAAGTGATGGTAAACAAAAGAGTTAAGGGGGGTTCCATTTTGAGAGGCGCACCCTGTACATAATTGGTAAAATATGCATAACTTGTAATTTTTTTCTGTTCAATCAGGAAATTTCATCAAAATATGAAAAAATAATGTACGTAACTATAGTTAGTTAACGCGTCATTTTGTGTGACGATGGGATTTTGGGAGACTAGAGAAACATGATTCTTCGCGAAGGGTACTTTAAGAATACAAAAAAAACATCTCGTATCTCCGATGCATTTCCGGACACAAGTTACGTCATTTGAATATTTTAACATACCCATAATATGTTACACCCTTTATATCTCTCCTATTATGTGTTTATTTGGAGTAATAGCGAAGTATTCAATTGAACAAATGGTTTTTCAGGATTCTCCACATTATTCTCTTCTACATTGAAAGAAACAGAATCCCGCCTAGAGGAGACCAAGTTAGACGTAGTAAGAGGTCGGGTCAGACAATATTTCAACGCCGTCATTCTGAACTCGATAACTTCCAAAGTACAAATCCTGGAACACATCGCCAAAATATGCGTTTCTGTGACAGAAATGTCTGTCTCGTCAGACACGACATCAGAGATTCGATGCCAACTCTCTTTCATCCTCGATTGTATACAGAGGGATGAGGTGCAAGTGACCAATCAAGAAATAGACGATATACAAATGGAAATCAGCAGATTGAAGCGTATAGTGGAGCTGACCCAGATCAAGAAGAAGTTTGGTTATGATAGAAGTAAGTTCACAAAAATTAGGCCAATTACTACACACATAGAAGATTACACATTTTCAGATTTTCTTCTCGTTTCTACAGGGTGATTCATTACAGATAGTAAACACTGAAATATCAAGATTTAGCCTAACATGCCTACGAAGTGTTCTAGGGGGAGATTATATATATGGAATGTTTCAATAACTGCGAAAGTTGACAGCATGAACATGAATGACGTAAGGAATGAGCATTTGCAATTTATTTTTGTGATTGCTCATAGAGAGCGCTAGTGACACTCTGTTACTTCGTTAAATTACTTGATATCCTATTTGACCATTGAATGATGATCAAAATGGGTCGAGAATCATCAAAATGAGTCGAAAATCTGATAGCCCGCTCAATTTTACATAAAAAAATTATTTTTTGTAAAAACGTCAAAAAACGACAGGGTTCGCGCATTGAAAACAAATTGCGAAGTGACACTTTTTTCAGTTTCCTACGTTACCATGACCTTGCACCTAACAATGAGCGAAGTAAAACAGTGCGCGAAGTACCTACTTCGCGCATTGTTATGTAAAATATATGAGATATTTATGTTCCAACTTTACGGTCCTCAATCGAGCAAACATCCACGAAATCATCTATTTCTGAATGTTCAACAATAACTTTGTTTCATCTCTTGGAGCGCACGAAAGGAAATTCCTATTATGTTCGTGGAACATCGTGCGTACCTAGGGAGGATAGGAGGAGGCCATTCAAGCCAGTTCAACACTATTGTTCATATCAAGCTGAGCATATTTTGACTTTAGGAATATATTTTCTTACGTTTGTAGAAAAAATCTTGTTTGCAACTCGAGCGCGAAATACTTTGATCATTTCGACTATTTTTTCACTCGGCTACGCCTCGTAAAAAAAATCTTGATCACCAGAGTAGCATTTCGCTTTCTAGATACAAAAATAACTATTTTGTAAAAACGTCAAAAAACGACAAGGTTCGCGCATCGATAACAAACTGCGGAGTGACGATTTTTTCAGTTTCCTACGTTACCATGATAACTTAGTAAACTAGTAAAACAGTGCGCGAAGTACCTACTTTGCGTATTGTTATGTAAAATATATGAGAAATTCATTTTTCAATTTTATGGTCCTCAATCGAGCGAACATCCACGAAATCATTCATTTCTGAATGTTCAACAATAACTTTGTTTTATCTCTTGAAGCGCACGAAAGGAAATACCTATTATGTTCGTGGAATATCGTGCGTACCTAGGGAGGATAGGGGGAGGCCTTCAAAGCCAGTTCAACACTATTTTTCATATCAAGCTAAGCATATGTTTACTTCAGAACTATATTTTTTGACGTTTGTTGGGAAAATGTTGTTTGAAACTCGAGCGCGAAATACTTTGGTCATCTCGACTATTTTTTTAATTCGACTATGCGTCGTTAAAAAAATCAGATCTGGATCATCACCAAAGTATCATTTCGCGCTCTAGATACGAAAATAACTATTTTCCAAATTGTGGAGCTTTAACAGTTTTTGCGTTATTCGATCTGTTCCACTTATAGTTTTTTGATAATTTCGAATGATAAAGTGAACGGAGTGACAGGGGAGAAATAGAGGGTAATCAATGATGGCACACCAACAACAAACATAGTAAATGTTCTCTACCAAAGTTAAGGAAAAGTTGGAAACAATTTTTTCCTTGAACCCTGTATCTGCAACATCTCTATGAAGCATTCTGAGTTGAATCTTTGGATCTTGGTGTTCACTATCTGTTATTCAGAGATTTTTCATTCTAAATGAATCACCCTGTTTACCTTGATCGGAGCCTTACACTATATCTGTCACGATTTCGAAGGCTGCCTGAGTTGTAGATTTGTTTTTTCGGAAACCATATTGTGATTCACTGAAGTAAAATCTTGTTTCAAAGTAGGAGTATAGTCTTTCTTTCAAAATTATTTCAATAATTTTACCGATGATTGGTATAATGCTGATTGGTCGATAGTTATTCATACATGATTTGTCGCCTTTTTTATATACAGGTATAATTTCAGAAATTTTGAGTGCATCTGAATAGATCCGTTTGCTGAATATAAGATTGATCGAATGAATTAGTGGGGGAATAATTAATTCTGAAGTTACTTTTATCAACTGACTATTGAAATCGTAGATGTCACGAGAGCTAGAATTGCTCAGTTTATTGATAGCGGCCGAAAGTTCTACGGAACATGTAGGTTCAAGATGAAATGAATTAGCAGGAGAAGGAAAATTCCTGAAATCATAAGTTTTATCAGTGTTCAACTTGGGAAGTGATCTGATGGTATTCTTGGCTATTGTGCAGAAAACATCATTGAACTCATTTTCTGATATTTCACTGATCATTTTCCTGTGATTTGAATTATTTCTTTCAGAATTCATTATGTTCCAGCAACCTCGTGACACATTTGGGGAATTTGCTATATATTCATCATATGCATGTTTTTTTTGGTACAATAATTCATAACTGTACCATTTCTTCATGAGTTTGTAGACTGCTAGATCATCTGGACTTCCAGACACCTCAGATATTATTTCGATAGCTTCTAGACTATACTCTTCATATTCTTCAAATCATTACAATACCAATCGATTTTGAATATATTTCTACTCTGTGATTGTTTCTTCAGTGGAAAAGATTCTCTGATGAAATTCTTGAGTGTATCGATGAGAAAATTACAAAAGAGGTTTCCATCAGGATCTTGAGAGTTTGAATTACTCCAATCTATTTGAGAGAATTCCGAAATAAATTTTTTCAATCCAGATTGTGTTATGGAAGATCTAGAAACCTCATCATTCGTGATATCTGACATTACATTCATGGTTGGAAATTGACCTTTATGATCAGATGAACATGGTTCAAGAATACCTACCTGGAAAATTTGATCGTTTAAAACAGTGATTATGCTATCGATACAAGTGGGGTCATCTTCAGTGATATACACTGCTCGCCAACAGCTATATGGAATCATCCCAATTTCCGGAAATTGATATTAGGAGTCAATATAGGTCGAAAATCACTTCAGATTCGGAATCAGGACGCACCTCCGGATCTCACGTAATTGACTTCATCTTTGGACTCTCCCTTCCTCCTCCAAATTTCAGAACCCTATCTCAATAATTACGTGAGATACAGGGGTGCTTCCATGATGAGTGGAACGAAATTTAATTTTTCTGAACTGCAAATTTTTTAGGAAAACTTTGAAAATTTAGTGATTTGAGCGTCCTTATTCCGTATCCGAAGTGATCTTCAATCTATTTTGACTCCTTATATCATTTTCCAGAAATTGGGGTGGTTTCATGGCTGTTGGCCATTGGGTATATCACTGAAGATGCCCCTTCTTGGTCATAGAGTGCATTTTCAGTATATGTCTCGCTCCAGCAAATTTCAGGATCCTTACCCAACCAGTACGTAAGTTACAGGGGTGTTTCCGTTAGAAGTGGGTGACACTGTATTATCTATGAACATATTGCACATGCCCATTATGATCATGATGCGCATGCCAAATTAGTGCTGGAGAGAGATTTTGAATTGGCGAATATATCAATGTGTATGTTTGTTTCATGTTTCAATTATTATGTTTTGAGTAGAAGTTGTTATTCTGCAAATAGGTATTGATTGATTCCTTATGCTAAAATACGTTACTCAGAGGTGAAGGGTACGTCTTCACGTCTCTTTTTCTGTTTCTTCTCCAGATACCTTCACTTCAATCTGAAGAAAATCCGGCATTCAGAAAAGGGACAATCGCATCAATCAGTATTCGTTTATAGGAATATCGTTGCATATATTTCGGGAAGATATTAGTCTTTCATGGCATTAGCCAGCAATGTAATTCGATTTTTCATCTACCATTGTTGTTGATCGACTAGTAGAAATGACTGAGCTTCCACTTCCCAGATAGCACACGTATGTTCCATGGATGTCTTGAAGACATACCCTTCGGATATTTGGAACGTCCCAAAAACGTCAATCTTTATCCAATCAGCTAAAGAACATCTCCCAGACGTCTTTGAGACCTATTTTTCACTACACATGAGTACCTACGTCTTTGAGGCGTACATTTCAGTTCTCAGACGTTCTTTAAACGTCTCAAAAATGTTTAATTTTTCAGACGTCTTTTTTAGGTCTCTTTGGTTGGTGTCCATGAATTGATCTTTCAAATAATAAAGAAAGCACATATTTTTGATGAATGTTCACCTGTATACTGAAGTTGGCAACTAGCGCAGCAGAGCGAAGAAAAAAAAGAGAATGAGAACGCCCATCCAAGTACTAACCTCGCTCGATGATGCTTGACCTTAGGACCATTTTTCCTTTTGTAACTCTGTTCCATTCATCAAATTACAAGCTTTCATTCAGTTCACATGTTCTGGTGTCTGTTCTTTGGATTCAAAATTCGCAAGCTAAATTTGACTTCCAATCGTCCGATTGATTTGAAATTTGGCAAGTGAATATAATTCCGGTGACTTCGTTGTGTCATCATTATTGGATGAAAAAAAAAAACAAAATAGTGGATCCAATATGGTGGACGGTCTTATGATTATGGTCTGAATTGAACCAGAATTGGTAACAAAGGGTACGTGTTCGAGGTTGGTTATTATAATTATTGAGTCCAAATAGAAAAAATCAAGATGGCGACTCCAAGCTGGCAGACTATAGTATTCTGATTATGGTCTGATTCGAATCAATATTGATATCTGTGGTTTTTGGGATCGGATATCATGATTCTTTTATCGAGAACGAAAAATTTTATAGGATGGGTTCAAAATGGCGGACGAGCATTTGTGATTATGGTCCGATTTCATTCAAAATTGGTGCCTGGGGTTCTTGGGGTCGAAGAATATGATATTTTGGTCAGAATCCAAGAATCTAATGCACGAAGGCTCCAGAATGAAGGACAAAAAAAAATCATCACTTTTGTAATGGATCTTCAACTCAGGGCGAGTTTGGGGTTCTGGCTACAGTTTGGGGTTCTGGCTGTCTCGGATTCAGTGCCCAAGAAATGAAATCTCAGAGAATTGAAGTGATGCAGACTAGAGCTATTTATTTCCGCAATAAATCAGGAATACATTGAATAAAAATCTGAAAGACACAATGAAAATACACATCAGTTACTTGCAATAATCCTTTCACATGGTGAACATGTGTTTTTTTTTGTAATATAACCAACATAGTATGCAATATTCCACCTACCTGAAATTTGACCTTCATCTGAAATCACGAAAGAGTTTCCCAAAATCTAGGGAATACTAGTTTTTATACATGTCGGATTGATAGAGGTGATTAAAATCATGCAGAAAAGAACCTGGGTACCGACATGGGAATTCGGGGCCTAATGAATGTGCAACTATCCGTATTCAATGCTATAGTAATGGTTGCCTAAGCAAAAGGAAATAAACATCATTTTATTTTATTATTTAGTCTTGTCATGTGAACCGCGGACGTGTCAGTAAAAAGATACGAAATATTCACATACAGATATTGACATTCCACACCTTTCAAAACAGATATCCAGAATTCAAATTGAGATTGCAAAAGTGCATGATTATAATGAAACGCAATAAGATGGTCGTGCTACACTTGTTGATAACGAAAAACTGAAAAGTTGAATATTAAAATTTAAATAAAAACATTTTCGAAGACACGCTTTTTTTGGAAGGCAGACAAAAAGAGAATATAATTCTTCGACTTAGGTTACTCTGTGAGTAACTCATGAAGACGGAAATGAAACCTGAAATGTACGTCTTCAAGATGTGCATTTTTTACGTCTTGGAGACGTACTCGAATGTTCGTTTTCGGGACGTCTCTTGCAGGTCCTGGAACGAAAGACGTGAGTCGAACCATACATGAACGTCTTGATGACGTCTGGTTCTGACTGGAAAAATATATCGTATACGATCCAGAAACGTCAAGAGACGACTTTCTAAGTTTTTTTTTAAATAACTCAGATCATTGTACATTTCCGTTTGTCGAATTGCCGTACTAGAATATATACGTCTCTAAGACGTATTTCATACGTCCTGAGAGGAACTACGTGAATCGGACTTGAAATTTACGTCTTCAAGAGATATACATACATACATTATTGTGAGTCTTGAAGACGTACAGGGATGTCAGTTTCCAAGACTTCTTTATACGTCCTCAGACGTGAGGACGTGATTCTAACGTTAAATGTTCGTATTTCTAGACTTCTGGCACTGATTGAGTATATGAGTACATAAGACATACGATGTTACAGAACCAGGGGCACTTGAGACACATTTTCTGATCAGTTTCAGGTTTGAGCTATCTGTGTTCATATTTCTGTTTCTTTCACTAGAATCGTTGCTGATGTTGAAGTTGAGGAGTCCCAGCGTGACCCCGGCAGCTCGCATCCAGCGCATAGAAGAACTAGTCAACCTCCGCCAACGATACACCAAAGATATCGATGAAAAGATCCAGGAGCTCATGAGGAGTCTGAGGAGCGGCATCCAGATCAGCGAGTCGGAACGCGTGGAGATCGTGAAGGCCTTGGGACTGAAGCAAGGCCATTGGTTAGTAGCAAAATCGTATTTTCTTCAATATTCTTGCCGGAGTCACCGCCAAAAAGAGACAGAAAAAAATGTACTCAATTCGAACGCCCTGTGACACTACCTTCTACTGGGCGCGCTGTCGTGAGATTCACGACAAACTCGTCTTCCTCCACTTTTATCTACTAGTCGCGAAAATCAAGCTCAAGCTACTCGAAATCTAGTGTCTATTCGAACTACAGACGTATCGGGTTTTGCATTAAAACGTTCGTTATCTCTTGATGTTCGGAAAGAACGTCAATTTCTCGACACTATATACACGACCATGGTTTAATGCGTTAGGTTTCTAACAAAAAAATCTCCCATGCAGATGCAGTTATAACAATCATTGATTTCAAGGAACATACAAGGCTTATAGAGGGAAACAAAATAATTATAATGAATAAATCAAATATGCAATACAATGGAAGATGAATAGTACAATCACAATTAATTTATATAGGAAGGAAGTTAAATTCGAAAAATATATTTCTTCAGTTATTCATTTCGGTATAATGAAAAAGACAACCTCCGATGGTTTTTTAATATGATTGAAAATAAAAAACAAGGGGCGTAGTGTGTTAAGTATTCATCTGAAGATTTTGACTTATTCTCTCATCTCAACTCGACGTCACCTATGTGAAAAATTCGTGCATTATAATTAGAAACACGAGAAAAACACAGGCCTGAAAAAATCGCGTCCAGGTTATAATTGATTCAAAATTCAAAAATCAATTTTTCAATTTGTACCGCGGAGTTAAATGAAAAAATTTCTCACCATCCGTGAGTACAGCCTATAGAATATGCAAACATAGGGTTGCCTATATTTTTCCTGGTCCAACTATAAGGTTGCCAGGTATAAACCGGTATTTTGGTCTCAGTTATTAACACCTAGTTGTTAATTATACAGATATAGATATTGGGTTGCCCACAATGAAACGTCTGTCCTGAATGAAGGATGTAGACTTTGAAGAAAAAAATGCAGTACGATTGTTAACGAGCGACAAAGAGGTCCGTGACAAATATCTACCGGAATCCGTTATGAAAATTGTTCTTCAGATGAATCAGAATATTATGAGTTTTTTTTAACAATATTATAATGTGATATTCATATCTGAGGTGTAGTATTATGACATTTTTGTACTGAACAAAATATCCTTACTGTTGATTTTTTATATTTTCATTTGAAATTTCGACTGTATATTTTTATTTAGTTTTTAGGAAGAGATTAAAATTTTGAACAAGCAGTATAGTGAGTATACATCGTTCTCTGATTTTTACTCATAACAACATTCGTCCACTCTAATGCAGTTTTCATAATTTGATATCATATCATTTTTAATATTTTCAAATTATTATATTTATCTAACATATAACAAGTTTCGAATTATCAGATATTTCATATTACTTTCGTACGTATACTACCATAGTTGCTCCAAGATATTGCTGTTTATACTAGTCTATTGCATCATTTTCTACGCGCAACTCTAACTTTGTCTTCGTCGCACGGGAAATTTGTCTCGGACCTCTTTATCGCACGTTCACAGTCGCACTAAAATTTTATTATATGAAATTTGACAACCGTCATTCAGGACATACTTTTTATTGTTAGCAGCTCTTTAATTGTGTTCGCAGTGGAACAGCGCCTATTTTATTTCATTATTGAAATAAATAGCTATTTATATAACAAGGGAGCAAAGGTATCCATTTGCTCCCTCGTGTGAAATTTCATACCCGTCGCGTAGCGGTGGGCATTAAACACACATGAGAAGGAATGAACATTCGCTCCCAATTTTTTTATCCACGAACACATATATTTGAGAGCGTCGTTCTTAGAATTGTGCTTCAAGCGGTCTATCTCTCGAGTCCCGATCCAAAAGAATGTGTAAAAACTCCACCAACGATAAGATTTCCACAAAATTCTTATACACACAACATGTTTCGCTAACACAGTAGTTCGTCAGGTGATATACTGGTACAATGAACTAAACCAACCTTGACTTGCTTAACCAACGTGAAGCGGTTAATCATAGCAAACACTAGTCGTTTCCATCTATATTGCTACCAAGTTTTCACTGGATTCAGTATTGCACTTGAACTGTGGTTTGGATATCAGTGCCCTCACCCCTAGCGAATTATTTTCATTCTCCCAGCGTGAACACAATTTCAAGTCAATTCTTTTGTCGACATTTTCCATAGTCTCATCAAATATCGAATTTATTATCAATTTGAATAGTTCTTGTTCAAATTCGTTCAGGGCAGAGTTTCTAAGACGTGTATTCAGAACCATATATGGTTTCAACCATGCTGATTGCAAAAATTCCAAGATTCTATGGATTTTCTTCAGTTTCAAACCGTATTTCAAACAATGCTTCGACTTCGATGATGAATAACGTATTTGCATTTGTTTCGTGAAGTGGGGATCAATTTGGCTGTGAGCTTTTCACATTCATTTATTAATTTGGCATTCTTACTCTTTGGTGGTATCATTTGCTCTGGGCAGAATGATAAATCGTTGTGGTCATGGTGTAGATTTGCTGGATATTCCAAGTCCACTTCTGAAACATATCCCTATGCTGAGTCGTCTCCAATTGAAAAACAGTCGAAATTTGCAATATCTTTAGCTTCAACCCATTTGAAATCACCTGTTGGAAGATGACTTTCCATACTCGCTCCATATAAATTTGTTGCATCCAAATACATGATATGTGATGTTGATTTCTGAATATCATAGGATGGTAGGAATTTGTAATTCGCTACAGCTTTCCTTTTGCTACATTGTGCCACCCCAATCCCCTTTTTGAAAAAATGCAACATATCTATATCGGTCAGGAGTTGAAGCTCAAATTGAGTATAACGTTACATGGCATTCCAGCTCAATCCTGGTGCAGTCGAATATTGGGCAGGATCTAACTTATATTGTTGCATGCATACCTTTAGAAAATTCTCGAAAACATCGGCCAACAGTAAGCAATCAGATTTCGAATACACATCTGCATAGTCTCCCGATGTTCTACAATTGGAGGTATTCCAAACATTCATGGCTCAATCATAACCTTTGTCAGAAAGTGATTCGTCGGTGAAATCATTATAGAACTTTTCCTTTGGTGGTAGTTGGGTTTCTCCAATTTTTCAAAGGAATCCACATCGCTGTATGAAAAAACCTTTTTCTGTCTTATCAAATCAAACTGTCTATCATCTTGGAAGTATTTTTTCACCTCGTTACACTGCTGCGGCTCCAAATTTTCACTCAATTTGTCGAGAGATTTTGGTAAGAATCGGAAAGAGTCCACAAATCTTGACTGGATATATTCATCAAAGACTCTTGAATTTGTGGATTCATCAACAATATTGACTTGGAAAACGAAATGTACTTCTCTTCAGTTTGGGCTTCCACTGATATTTTCTCTTTTTTCGTTGCTAGTTTCTTGATGAATAGATGCGAATCGTAATTTGTGAAGTTGTGAAAGAATACTGGGATGGTTTTCGAAGTCTTGTAATTCAGATTACAAATAGAATGACCTGCTGCGCGGAATCGACCTGTATAGTGATAGTGGTCACGGACTTTAACATCTGAGTGCTTGAATGGCTTTTCACAAGTATGACATGTGGTGCTATTCTAGAGATTTTGCTTCTCTCAGTGAGTGGATGCATCTCACGAACATCTTCCGAATGGTTTGTATACAAGTTTTGAACGGTTTTACCCAACTTTTTCATAAAAACGTCAGCAGCATCACCTCCACGATGAAGTACTGACCTCGAGAAACGATCTTCAGAATTACACTTCACATAGAACGCGAACGAATATGGTTCATAATCACATACTTTCACAGAAACTGAGTTTTTGTCACAGGGCTCATTATGTTGGATAGGTTCGAGTACACTTTCGAATTCAGCATGAATATAAAATGGTGGTGATAATTGTTTCCCAAAATTTATGAACTTGATGAGAATGTTTTCAGGCACTGATTCACCATACCTGTTGATTCTCAAATCAGTAGTTGGTATCTTCGTGTAGGTATGATTGCAATCATTTGCCTTATGACATCTCAATTGCACCATGGTAGTGGAAGATTGTAGACATCCATCACAAATATATATTTCACCATCAAATTTCGATTCTTTTGTCTTGACTCATCTGCCCAAATCTTGGATGAGACAGTAATGTGTATTTCCAACTCTATCTGCCACAAGTAGCAGATTCACATGTGTTGCTTGGCGACATGATGTGAAATGGTCCAATCACTTCAGTTATCATGTTTCCATCTCTGAAAGACGAATCAAGACCGAACATATTAACTGAGATGTTGTTGAGTCGCTAAAATTTTGGAATGTGTTTAAATTCTATGGGAAACTCAAGTCCTTGAAATTTTCATAGGGTATTTAAATGTGGGTGAGATGTCATTCTTTGTGGTAGACCATCTGCTGAGAAAATGAAAGCATTATTCGAACATGCGAAACAGGCTCTGTCCTTGTTTTGTACATTTAAAACTGTTTAGATTCAATAACTTTTGGTAGCTTGATGTAGAAAGAGGTTGAAAGCGCTGAGAACTTTTTGATGTTAACGTCCAAAAACATGACATTTTCCAAGATCCAGCCTGAATCACGTTTTTTGAATTCGAATGCCTTCACAATCATTTATTTCTTGAAGTCATCATAATCGTGCTCAATATTAGATGATATTGTTAAGATCTTATTCTTGGTGTTAAAGGACTTTATATCAGGAAGTTCCTTTTCGGGTATGATATACAATCCAAAAAGCTTGATATTCACTTTCAAGCTGTGGTAGGTCTCCAAATATTCAGATAGGACTGCCAGAACTTTTGGTTTTACTTCTTGTGAGAATTCAGTATGATCGGTGTCATTTTTCTCACTAGAAAATCGATAGCTGGCTATCCTGCTCTAGAAGACATGACGTAGTTTGACTACACCATTTCCCAAACTCTTTTCAACAGTTTGATTCAACCTTTCTCGTTCAGCAATGT